AGTACGTTTATCCTAAGTTGCTTGATATGTTGCAGTACACTGCAATAAATTCAATTTGCCTTGTGGAAGTTGTTAATTCAGACACCAAAACACGACAGTTGTTATTATATTCATGCAAGGCAGAACTAAGTACCTTTCCAAACCATTCCAAAGCAAGAGGAGAGAAGGAATCATTAAGATTGGAAAGACCATGAAGGTAATCTAGCCCAACCATCAACCCATCCCCAACCCATCAACCTGTGACCACTTTTTTGTTCACTTCCAGAACTATTTCCTCTTAGATCTCCTTCTGCAGCCAACAAAAATTCTTCTTTCTAATCAATATTTGCCTAAACTAATGCTTGATGGACTGAGCTGCTGCGTGGTTAAGGTTACGACAGAGTAAAGCAGCTATCCATGGAAGGTCTGAAATCTCCAGCCATTTCCAGAAGGACAGAGCTGTAGAAGAGAGGAATAATGAGAAGATTTGGGTCATTACCACGAACAAGGAGGCTCTGGGTCGGAGTAGTCCTGCAGGTCAGCGTCAGCCACCCAAATGCATTAAGATGGAGGAGCAGAGCGTGGCTCTATGTGGTTTCTGGAGGCTGGGAAGGATGCTTGCTCTTCTTCTTCTTCTTCTTCCAATCAGGAGATGTCTGCAGTTCTGGGGACAGTTGAGGCGACGTTCAACAGATCTCCTCTGTTAGCATCCTCCTGTAAGGTATTGCTTCCAAAATATTGCAGCATCACCTCAAGAAATGCGCTGAGCTGCCTGCAAAATGACCTTGGGACCTCTGTTTGTGCAACGTTAGACCACAGCGACTTGCTCAAGGTTTCTGTCACGGCAACTGCTCGGTTCAGGTGGGCTTTGTGGTTAGCGGGAGCGGTGCTAGTTGTTATTGCTCAATTTAATTGCTTGTTTAACACAGAAGAATGTGCTGCATCTCTGCTAGGGACCTAACCTGCACCAGGTTTACCTCCAGGCCAAAAGGCAGTCTGGCCATGTCCGTGCTATTCACCTCAGCCTCCACCGTGGTGTGGCTTTGCCTCAAGTGCCTGTTGGAGATGGTCTGAAAAGAGGTAATTAGGATGTTGGTGGTATTTAAGGAGAAACTCCTGTCAGGATTTGTTTGGTCAATGAAATAACTGCCCAGCTCATTGGTCATATTCATGACTGAGTTTTGGGTGGGATGCTGGGCAGCTTGGTGTGGTGGGGGGCAGCCCTGCTCGTGGCAGGAGGCTGGGAACTGGATGGTCTTTAAGGTCCCCTCCAACACGAGCCGTTCCGTGAGTGCTGTCATCAAAACCCAAAGCACGTTGCTGCAGAAGGCAAAATTAACTCTTAGAGCTGGAAGTCATAGAATCACCAAGGTTGGAAGAGACCTCCAAGATCATCCAGTCCAACCGTCCACCTCCCACCAGTATTTCCCCACAACTTTGCAAAGGGGAAGTACCGTCTCCATCAATTTTCATTGTTTTTCTTTACAAAGGTAAGAAATAGGTCACTGTAAAATGAAATACAGTAATCCAGTCCCTGCCTCCATTCACGGGTTAAGATTTCCCATTGTGCCCCCCAGGTAGAGCTGCCAATTACGATCGTGTTGTCTGTGAATGTGACAGCAGCTTTCTGAGCCACAACTTTACCACCCGTGCCAGCGGTTTTATTATCATAGAATGGTGCGAGTTGGAAGGGACAATTGAAGGCCATCTAGTTCCAACTCCCTGCAGTGAACAGGGACACCCACAGCTCCATGGGTGCCCAAGCCTGGCCTCAAGCATTGCATTGCCAGGGACAGAAGCACCTGCCCCTGAACATCCTCCTACACCTTCCCCATCGCAACCCCCCTCACACTTTCCATGTGCTTAGAGAAATTCCTGCTTTTTCTCCAGGGATGTGTTACAAGAGGATCTTCGCCCTCCTTTTCAGGCCTCTTTCACTCCTATTTGAAGCAGAACTGCCACGTTCTATGGGAGTTACTGTTCTCTGTCAGCCCTTTGCTCACTGCTGAGCCCTTCCCTATGTGAGCCCCAACTCGGCTGCCTTTCATGCCCTGCAGGGATTTTTCTTAGACCTCTTTGTTTTCTTTTGGAGTCAAAGCAAATATTTTACCGAGTTCTCCAGCACAGCCTTCTTTTAGCAGCTTCCAGGCTGCCTGCAGGCTTCTTGCTCCTCTTGGCTGCTTCTTTTGATGCTTTTTTGCACTCATTTTTGCTTCTTTTTGAGACTGGATATTCACACATTAAATATATATGATCTCACTGTGCAGTTAAAGTTAATTGTGCTGTTGTTATTGCTACAGAGAGGCTGACAAATAGCTTCTGTCTCTGTTTTTTAGCACCTTTGCACCACTCACTCCCAAAACTTTCCCTGGAGGTGCCAGGATGGTTTTTTCCCTGAATCAGCCTTTTGTATCAAAAACACAATCTCTACACCCTCCCAGTATCCTGGCCCACCCCTCACAACTGCTCCGAGCATCATGCAGCAGGGGTGACCCATCCTTTGGGTCCATCGGGGAGGGACTTTGCTCCAGCCTCCCACTCAGGTGCTGGCAAATATTTGGGTGGTAGCAACACACTGGAGTGGCTCAGCAGCTGAGGGCCAGCTGGGTCCATGTGACATCCCATCTGTAGGCTCTCTTTTCCTCTGCTACCTCCTGCCCTATGTGGGGGACAGTGCTAATGGGGACACGTGGTCGTGCAGTTGGCTTTGAAGCTCGCTATCGTTCTCATGATACCTCCATGCCCCGCATCTTGCCAAGCCTTAGCTTAAGGTTTTCAAATGATGAAGGTGTTTCCAGTTCAGCACAGCCCAAATCTTACAGCATCCATCTTTCCAATCGAGGGAATCCACCTGAGTTTAGTGGAAAAAGAGATTGTTCCATACCTGCCCCATCGTAGCCACAACGTAGAGACATTTCTGGGTTGTGGTGGCCAGCAGCAGTTGTACCACACAGAGGGATCTGCTGTCCCCACCTGTTGGTCATATTTAAGATATTGCACGCTCTTTTCTTAAGAGTACCTGCAATTACTCTGGAAAGGGATAAACAGAATCAGACATCAGAGCAGAAGACTCAAGATCTTTCTTCTCCTCCTAGCAGGAGACCAGGAGGCAATGACCCTTCTGACATCTCCCCAGTTCATCCCCCACGTTCTTCATCTGTTCATGACAAGCTGAGGTTCTTGCACTGCCTTTAATGCCCTTGATTTCCTAATTGCAATTGTTGTACAACCACTGTGGAGTCTCATTCACAGCTATTCCAGCAAACCAGCCCTGTGACAGTCACCACACCTTTTTGGCATCCCACCAAATTCCTGCTTTTTTGGCTATAATTATTTCTTCTTCCTGAACAAAAGGAGTTAACCTTAATCCTGGGTGGAAGAGCGTGGCATAATCAGAACAGCAGGAGCTTTGTGTTTGTTTAGCTGCCTCCTACAGGCCATGCAAGGCCCACTTCACAAGCACGAAGGACTTTCCAATCCCTAGATGGAAGGAATGATTGAGGTTCAAATAGCACCTTTGGGCTCGGAGAACCTGATTATTATTAATGACTGTTCCTTTGGTCATGGCAACGTGCTGTACAATAACACCAAGTGCAGCGCATGTTTATTCCAGGTCGAATAAATCTGAAATGCAGAGTTGACCAAACCCTGTCCTGATGCGGGCCTGCATAAGGCATGACCTAGAAAACCTTTCCCAAGTTCTGTAGGTGCTCATGAGCTGGATGTGGATGGATGACCCAGTAACATAGGATCACAGAATGGCTTGGGTTGGAAGAGATCTCAAAAGCTATCTAATTCCAGCCCCCATGCTGTGGGCAGGGTTAAGAGCGCATGCCAATACTTCAACCCAATATCACATACCAGTAGTGATCCCAACCCCACATCATTCCATCAGAAGAGAGGTGGCCAGCAGGGACAGAGAAGTTGTGGATGCCCCGTCCATCCCTGGAGATGTTCAAGGCCAGGTTGGATGGGGCTCTGAGCAGCCTGGGCTGCTGTGAAACGTGGAGGTGGGTGGCCCTGCCTGCAGCAAGGGGTTTGAGCTTCGTGATCCTTGATGCCCCTTCCAACCCAAGCCATTTTATGGTTCTGTGATTCTATGATCATTCCCAACAGCTCCACAGCCACCATGGGCAGGGCTGTGGAGAACAAATGGCCATAGACCTCAGAAATCAGAGGGATCAAAACACACCTCATCAATTAATGGTTTAAAAAGCTTAGCGTTATTACCCGAGCTTTATTAGATATTTACACAAATAATTTGCAAAGTAGGCTCTTTGAATACATGTTACAGAAGAGAAAAAGGGCACAAACTGCTTCTACTTTGTAAGTTCACAAACCACTTCTACTTTGTAAGTTCAGAGCCTGCAGGAGAGCAGAAGACTTCAGTGTCCAGCTGGGTCACAAAAGAGGGCAGGTGGGAGTTGGCCATGATGGAAGATGAAAGCCTTCAGATGAGGCACTTAAAAGGAGATGTGAGGACATTTAGGGTCTAAAGAAAAGAAGAGAGATCCTACAGTGAAGAAAGGAAGGTGAGGGTGAGATCTGGCATTCACACATCTGTTCAGAAAATACTGCATGAGGAAGGTGGGCAGATCAACAGACATGAGCCTCCTAAATATGATGTGGCCTTTGGGGCTTTGTGGGCAGCTGTCACAGGAAAGTTGAGTGTGACAGGTCTGCATCGCATGGGAGACACGGCGCTGCTCTTGACACAAGTAGGAAATTCCCACCAAGAAACATCTTTGGAAAAGAGGGGAGTTGTTCCATTTCAGGCTCACAGCTCACCCTGCCTTGGTGGCGGTGGAGGGGCAGCATCCAGGGGATGAGGAGCACAGAGATTCCCCAGATATGGATCCACGGATAAAGAGTGAGGCTTCCTGCCAAAGTGCCTTTCCCAGCTCCAGGATAGCAACGCAACAAACAACAGCATGGCCACGTAGGGAAGGATGATGTTACACTACTGCTGTCACTGCTAGTGACACCACCAAGGCTACCAGCTCCACACAGACCATGGAATGTCACCAAAAGGGTCTGCAGCACTTTGCCAGTCCATTGTAGCAGGTACCAGTGGATCTCTCGAAGAAAGGACACAGCAAGAATGAACACTTGCCCTTCATCTTCCGACACGTGACCGTGTCCGACTCTGCAATGGAGGAAAAGAACCTGTGAGACTCTTCCATTGGGCTTCCAAGCGTGAAGAAATCTGGTCCCCATGCTACCAGCTCAGCCTGCAGGTAGCACAGGTCGGTTCAGCAAGAGGAATGTGAACCCACTGTTGAGTTTTGCTGCAATATCTGAAAGCATCCACGCAGGCTGTGAGGTTCTCCCCCCTAGCCCTGAAAGTGCCAACTGGAGTTTGCCTACTCAGCACTCGTCTACCAGACCCAGCACCAAGCATCACATCGATGTGTCACGAGTTCATTCCTCACTTACAGAACATAAAAAACTTCCCAAACATAAAAAATGACCTTTGCTTATATTTACACTTACCTGGAGCAGCCTGGGGTACTGCCAGCAGAACAAGAAGCAGGAGGAATATGCCCGTGGCTTTGGCTGACATTGCCATGTCACCCTGAAGCTGCTGAGACCAAGAGGAAGGAATGAACCTCTCTTTATAAAGCTTCGTTGAATGTGATCACCAGGGATGTAGCAATCTTACAAATAACAGGTTTGAAGGATGTGTGTGGTAACCTCTAATTACAATTCCTGTGTGGATGCATAGCACAACATGCTCCACCCCAATAAGCCTGCAAAAATGGGGCAAACATCCCATGCCACTCCATCCCATGTTATGCCATCCCATGCCAGCCCATGCCATGCTATGTGCAGAGGTGATTTCACCACTGTCTGTATTTAGTTTCATTGGAGATGTGAGTGGCTTTTTAGCATAATAAAAGGAAATATAGGCTGTAGGCCATACACCACTTTTTTTTTTTTCATTCAGGGGATGCTTAAATGCAAGTCCTGCAGGATGCAAAGTTCTTCCATGGTTGGAAAAATCAGTGCCAGAGACAGAAATCCCGGTTGCACTCCTTCTAAAATCAGAGAGTAGTTTGGCTCCCCAGCCAGCAGGACATCCCTGAGCACACAGATTTGGGTCACTGTTCATATGCAAGTATCAAGAGGGAAGCGTGGGGCATGGAGAGACAGGCATTACATACTGGGTATCTATAGAGAACTCTGGAAACAGAGTTGGATGACAGACTGCTGCTTAAACCAGCAGAGTCCAGGCTTAGTTCCAAGGGTTGCCAAGGAACTTGCTGAAATTAAAAAAAAAAAAAAAAAAGCAGAAAAATGAGTTAAAGCCCCCAAAGATGCTCATATGGAATGGGATGGGATGGGATGGGATGGGATGGGATGGGATGGGATGGGATGGGATGGGATGGGATGGGATGGGATGGGATGGGATGGGGTGGGATGGGATGGGATGGGGTGGGGTGGAATGGGATGGGATGGGATGGGATGGGATGGGATGGGATGGGGTGGGGTGGGATGGGATGGGATGGGGTGGGATGGGGTGGGATGGGGTGGGATGGGATGGGATGGGATGGGATGGGATGGGATGGAATGGGATGGGATGGGATGGGATGGGATGGGATGGGATGGGATGGGATGGGGTGGGATGGGATGGGATGGGGTGGGATGGGGTGGGGTGGAATGGGATGGGATGGGATGGGATGGGATGGGGTGGGATGGGATGGGATGGGATGGGGTGGGATGGGGTGGAATGGGATGGGATGGGGTGGGATGGGATGGGATGGGATGGGATGGGGTGGGATGGGGTGGGATGGGATGGGATGGGATAGCATAGCATGGGATGGCAAGGGATGAGATGGGACCTCCTGACATGGGATGTCATGACATGGGATGGGATGGAATGTATGGGATAGGATAGCATGGCATGGCACGGCATGGCACAGAACGGGATGGGATGGGATGGCATGGGATGGGATAACTCCTGACGGCCCAGTGGATCCGCAGAGCTTCGGGAGCATCTTGCATGATTTTCCAAAACCACTCACAAATGTGTGGCCGCTATTTGGACTTCATTAGCAGCCATCTCTTCTGACGGAGGGGAGGAAAAATAACGCGACTAATCTGCGGCAGCACCGCACTCCGTGCCCCGGCTGCCACCTAGTGCTCAGTGCCGCGGGGACAAGAAGGGACATCGGGATGCGCCAACCATCCCCACGGTCCACGCGGGGCCCCAAAAAGCCTGCGAAAAGCAAGCAGCGTGACGTAACGACCCCGCGGCGGGGCGGGGGGAGGCACATGTGGGGAGGTGCTCCCGTGTTTCCTCCTCCTCTTCCTCCTCTTCTTCCTCCTCCTCCTCCTGCTGCGCTCAGGATGCGCGGGTTTTGCCCGGCGCTCTGCTTGGCGCTGCTGGCGGCGGAACGCGGAGCGCGTGAGTGAGCGCGCAGCGTGCGCGGGAATTGCGCGGGGAGAAAGGAGAGAGCGCTGTGCCTCCGTGCTCGCATCACCCCTAGCCTGGACCCCTCCGCTTGCCCCTCCTTTACTCCCTAAACGAGGGGTTTGGGGATCCGCGCAGCCTCTAGCTATGTTCTCCTTTATGAAAGAAAAAAGAGAAAACACTGAAAATGTTGAATTTTTTTCTTAAATTTGAAGCTGGGCACGCTTTATCTGAACCCGCCTTTAGCTGTGTCCCTCGGTAGTGACGGCTGTGCTGCTGCTGACAAGCCCTGAGGAGCTGGCAGCCCAAGATAAGAGTGGGACACGGGCTGTGAACTTTTGGGGGATTGTATCTTTTAGGTGTGTGTGGCATCCCCAGCACTGCCTCCCTCTTATTTTCCAGGGCTCTGCACCATCATCCATTACCTTTCCCATGGGCATCTGGGCTGGTTTTGTGGGACTATCACCTGCCTGGTACCTGGCTACGTGGCACAATTCCTCAGCATCCTCTGGTTGAAGGCAGATGGACACCCTCCAGGCTGCAGTGTCCTGGTCCTCCACATCCTACAGTTTGGCCTCTGGAAGCGGTGAGAGATTTACCCCACAGTCCATCCAGCCTCCCTAACCCTGCCCAAAATGGTGTGGACATCCCATCCCATGTCATCCCAAACCATGTCATTCCATGTAATCCCATCCTATGTCATCCCAACAAATGCATTGCCACCCGGTCCCATTCCGTGTCATGACATCCCATCCCATGCTATCCCAACCCATGCCTTGCCATCTTGTTCAATCCCAAGCCATGCAATCTCATTCCATTCTGTCCCTTCCCATCCTATGCCATTCTATCACATGCCATCTCGTGCCATCCCATCCCATCCCATCCCATCTCATGCCATGCCATGCCATGCCATTCCATCTCATTCCATGCCATCTCATCTCATCCTATGCCATCCCATCTCATCCCATCCCAACTTCCCACTTCATCCCATCCCATCCCACCGCATCCCATCCTATCTCATCCTGTGCCATGCCATGCCATCCCGTCCTGTCTCAAACCATCATTCCATGCCATCCCATCCCATGCCATGCCATCCCATGCCATTCCATCTCATTCCATGCCATCTCATTCCATCTCATATCATCCTATGCCATCCCCTCCCATCTCAACATCTCATCCCATCCATCTCATCATCTCATCCCATCCCATGCCATCTCATCTCACCCGATGCCATCCCATCCCATCCCAACCCATCCTGCTGATTCTTGCAGGTACTGGGATATTTTGTGGATGGAGGTGAAAACAAACAGCAGTGCAGGTACTGGGGAGATGCTGATGTGGCATGCAGACGTGTGTTTGCTGCGGCTCCTGGAAGCCCTGCTGCAGAGTCTGCCTCACCTCCTGCTGCAGGTCTATGTTGTCGTGGTCAGTGAGCCATCCAGCCTCATTCCTGGTGAGTCTTTGGGCTATGCATGGATTTTCACAGCTGGCACACTCATGCCTTGGTTGAGTTTGAACCCAACATATATTCCCTAGGTTCATCCCACAATGTGCTGTCGTACTGAGCAGTTAGGGTTTGGGGCTGCTTCAGGGAAAAGGGAATTTTCAGCTCAGTTTTCCAGAGGGAGAGGTTGGGGTGTAAACAAGGTCATCTTCACTGGTTGGTGTTAGGCTCTGGTAGGACTGGAGATGGAGTTGAGGATTTGGGTGGGGAGATCTGGATAGGGAGAAGTTAGGGTAGTATGGTCAGGTTGTGGTTGGACTTGATGATCTTTAAGGTCTTTTCCAACCTGAATGATTGAATGATTCTGTATCAATGCAAGTGTGCAAAGGAGACTCGATCTGGCAGGAATGAGTTGAAACCCTCCATCTGGCAGGACCCTCTGTCTACTGTGCTACAGATAGCTCCTGAGAGCTCAGCTAGGATCCTACAAGGCAATCAGGCATCCTTCGAGCACTCAGAACTTTCCCTGTCCCCACACAGCTGTCAGTGCTGGGCTGTCCCTGCTGTCCCTCTCCTGGGCTTTGGTCTCCTACAGCCGCTCCTGCTGCCTGCTGAGACCTGGCCACGTGTGGCTGCCGGCCATGGCCCTGCTCTGCCTGCTGCTCTGGAGGATGGGGATGCTGACAAGCAGGGTCCTGGCCCTGGTGCTCTTCAGCAAGCTCTATTCCTGCTGGGTTCTGGTTGTGGCAGGTAAGAGCAGCACTCGTTGTCTTCATACCCCGTCCCATTGCCAGCCGTGGGGATGCTCCCACTGACCCCAAGTCACTTGTATCTTTTTGGTGCCATCCCCTCGCAGGCACCCACTGGGTGCTGATGTCCTTCTGGCTGGTGGCCCTGCAGAGTGACATTGTGGCCCAGCCCTGCCACTGGAGGCTGTTCAACGTCCTGCTAGGAGCCGTGTACATCTTCTGCTACATCAACGTCCAGCCTGGTCCCTCCAAGCACCGCATGGCTGTGTTCTACATGGTGAGTACCCAGCATGTGGCTCTGGGCAGCCTGATCTGCTGGTTGGCAACCCTGCACATAGCAGGGGGTTGAAACCAGATGATCATTGGTGGTCCTTTTCAACCCAGGCCTTCCTATGATTCTATGAATATCTATATTGCAAGATACAACATCCATCATCAGGGGCTGGAAACCGGGTGGTTTGCATCATCAGAAGCATATTGGAGGATGTAACGATGGCTCTCTGCCCTGTAGGTAATGCTGATGGAGAACACGCTCCTGCTGCTGCTGGCCACTGAGTTCCTGCAGGCAGAGATGGGACACAGCCTACGTGTGAGCTGGGCTGCCATGGCGGGGGCTGCCCTCGGTGAGAGCTGCTGCAGTCTGCTGGGTTGCATGTGTGGAGAGCAGCAAATTCCTATCGTGTTTGCTTTATTTCTTCAGGAGTTTATTGGTTATCCAATGCTGAGTTTCATGGGCTTAAGTAAGACTGTTGTAGTATCAAAGCGGTGAGGTTGGGAATGGCCTCCCAGCAGCACAGGTGCGAAAGAAGTGTCTGGTGAGATCCTTAAAAGTGATGATGGTGGGGTTTTGGGATTTGAGAAGGACCCATCCCACCTCGCACACACTCACAGGCTTCTGAACTGAGCGTGGAGGCATCCTTGGAGCTGATGTCCAGTGGGAATGGGAGGTTGCTATGAAACTGGTCATGCAGGAGGAACAGAGGGTGTCTTGAAGTGAGATGTGGATGTGGCTGGAGGGCCAGCACACTGCAAAGTATTGCTGCCCAGCAGTATCTTGCCAAGGAGAAACCTGCTCTCTCCTGCACATGCTGAATGCAGCCATGATTCATTCCTTGATGCCTTCCTGCTCTTTTTGCAGGTGTTGCAGCCATGGTGGTTTATTACAGCCTGCTCCATCCCAAATCCTCCAAGATCAGGCAGGGCATCCTGCAGAACTCCAGCTGTGCTGCTGGCAATGAGCAGGCTGCTGGGAACAGCTCCTGCGTGGGGCAGAGCTGGGGAATTTCAGGAGATGGAGAATCGTTGCCTGCAGAAAGGACCACAGTAACTCCCCAAACTGGGAACAGCTCATCCCTCTTCCAGCCCGAAGGGCCTTCGGAGGATGGATGGACAAATCACCACCACTGGCTGCTGGTGAAGCTGGCCTTGAAGACAGGAGACGTGTCGAAAATCAACGCAGCTTTCGGGGATGCTGGTGTGGGAGAGCTTTACCCTGATGGGTGGGAGATGGGAACACCCCAACCTGGGGCTGAGCCTTCCCTCCCCACAATGGAAATCGCTCCTCGGGGCTTTGGATTGGGTTTAGTAGAGGAGAAGACGATGGTGGTGAGGAATGGAGGAGGCAGCAAACATGAAATCGGTGCTGGAAGGGACAGAGGAGGGCTGGAGGCTGCTGGCCACCCTGCCATCCTTTCACCTCACAGCTCCTCTGCATCCCTATCTGAGGGCTCCTCGGTGTACTTCAGTGCCAACACAGGTGGCATCACCTCTCCTGGTGCAGTGATGGTGACAGCATCCTCCACAGCCCTGCCGGAAGGGGACAGCAAAGCCTGCTCTTCCCCAGGATGCCTAGCAGGAGGAGGGGGAAGAGGAGAAGATTTATCCCTTGAGACAGCGAGCATCAGCCCCATCCTGGGCTCTTGTACCCACAGGCACCTGCAGAGTGACTGCGGGGTGGCAGGTCCCCCCGAGGAGCTGTGTGTGGGGACAGAGGGAGCCCTTCTGGAGTGGCATCACCTGCAAGACACCCATCCCTGTGAAACACGGGGGGTTGTTGGTCTGAGGAGCAAGCTGAAGCCACCACGCTTCACCTCCACCCCCAAAGCTGACTCCAAATGTTCCCAGCAAGGACTGAGGGACGTGGGAGAGGGGAAGGATGTGTCTGGGATGGTGGAGTGACCCTGCGCTGTCACCGTGGGACAGAACTGGGGTGGCTGCTTTGCTCAATGAGATGCAATAGGGAAGTTCATGCTGACCTCAAAGGCTGTCCTTGTGTGCCCATGTGGTCCTTTGTCACCAGGAGGTCTCCTCCCCTCCTGGTACTGCTTCTTCTCTTTCCTCTGGAGAGCATTAGTGGATGGAAGGGCTGAAAAGCCTGGGTTTAGGTATTTATTATGTTTATTTAACCCTATGGGCAGTTGGAGCATCCTGCCCTTCTTGCATAGGTGATGATGTTGGGAAAGGTGGCCTTGAACATCACAGAATCACAGGATCATTTGAGCTGGAAAGGACCCTTAAAGGTCATCTAGTCTACCTCCAAGTGCCCAGAGAAGCTGCTGCCCAAAGCAGGAGCCGCTCATGACAAACAGGTGCCTAAACCAGAAACATGATGGGTTTTATTTCCATATGTTTACTTTGGGGTAGAGCAAGCCCTGCATTAAGGCTCAGCAGTGCTTGATCAATTCTTCTCCCTCCACAGAGAGCTTGACCAATTGCTGGGACTGCACCGGAGCCCAATTGCTCTACGCATGGCAGGTGACAACCTCAGGACATTGAATTACAGCCATGAGCCAGGTCTGCTGGCTTCCCCATGGCTGTGGGGATTGAGAACTGGTGGGCACTGCCTGCTAGGGAAAGCCTCCAAAAGGATGGGCATAGAACCACAGAATGGTTTGGGTTAGAAGAAACCTTTAAGATCATCCAGTTCCAACCCCCTGCTGTAGGCAGGGACACTTCCCTCTAGACCAGGTTGCTCACAGCCCCATCCAGCCTAGCCTTGAATGTCTCCAAGGTGGAAACATCCAGAACCTCACTGGGCAACCTGTTCCAGCATCTCATCAATCTCCCAGTAAAGAATTTCTCCCTGATATCCATTCTAAATCTGCCCTCTTTCAATGTAAAGCCCTTTCCCCTCGTCCTGTCGTGGTGTGAGAAGTGGTTAAACAAAGCTGCCAAGCAGAGCTCGCTGCTCAGAAGGGCCCCAGCCAGACGTGTTCCATCAGGCTGAGCTGTGCTCTGGAAACCCGGTTGGGCTGTTTGGGACTGCAGCTGCCTTCCAACGTGACAACAGCTCCATACCTCCGCCCTGGCCCCAGCACAGCTGTATTTTGCTTTGCTCTGCAGGGAGGAAGCAGTTGCAGCAGCTTTTCCTGAGCCCCCCTCGCTGCGCGCATCGCACGGAAGGCAGCCGAGCTGTCAGAGCACTCCTGAAGTTTTGATGCAGTTTGTTTTTCTTATCTTTGACAATATAGAATTGCTGCTTTAAGAAAACAAACCGGGCTTTGCCGTGTCTGTGTGTTGTGCAGGGGTGCTCAGTGCCTGCTCATCAGCACGCAGCCCCTGGGGGTTGCAGTTGGAGATGTGAGACCTGGCTCCCCTGCTGCCTAACTCCAGATTATAGAATCACAGAATGGCCTGGGTTGAAAAGGAGCGCAGTGCTCATCCAGTTCCAACCCCCTGCTGTGTGCAGGTCACCAACCAGCAGCCCAGGCTGCCCAGAGCCACATCCAGCCTGGCCTTGAATGCCTGCAGGGATGGGGCATCCACAGCCTCCTTGGGCAACCTCTGCAGCTGCAGCTGTTCCTCTCCATCTCCTCTGGGGAGGAAGCACGAGGCGTCCCATTAACCTGGTGCACACCCACAGCTTTCTCAAGAAAATAGAAGAAATCGATCGACCTGAGGTTTCTCCCCACAGCTCCCCGCTCCTCAGCCACAAGAGGGAGGTGGTGCTCAATGCTGCCGGCGTGCATTTCTATTTCCAGAGGCCGTGCGCCCATCCCACACCCAGACCGTGGGACGGGGTTGGGACTTGGGGGACTGCTAACAGCTGCAGCAGCCCCAGTGGGAACGGGTGAGGGCGAAATGGGAGGCTTTGGGTTGCTGGAGGTGGCTGATGCTGTGCACAGTGAGTGCCTGGATGCATAGTGATAGGACAAGGGGGAATGGTCTTAAAGTGAGACAGGGGAGGTTTAGGTTGGATATGAGAAGGAAGTTTTTCCCCCAGAGGGTGGTGAGGCACTGGCACAGGTTGCCCAAGGAGGCTGTGGATGCCCCATCCCTGCAGGCATTCAAGGCCAGGCTGGATGTGGCTCTGGGCAGCCTGGGCTGCTGGTTGGTGACCTGCACACAGCAGGGGGTTGGGACTGGATGAGCACTGTGGGCCTTTGCAACCCAGGCCATTCTGATTCTGTGATTCCATCCCACCACACTCAACCTAAGGTTCTCCTATGCTCCCACCTGACCTGAATAAAGGATTTCTGCTCATTTGCTTCTGATGAGCCCTTTTTGTTTGCATTCTTGTCAAGAAACCCCCCCTGCAGCATCACAGAGAGGCAGAAGGGACCTCAGCTGTGCGAACTTATGGCAGGAACGGGGAGTGGAAGCCCAGGGCCAGGCTGGACAATGAAGGGAGTGACTGGAGCTGCCCGGAACGGGCTGTGCTGCTCACCACTGATCTGGAAGAAGGAGCAGGAACGAAAACTCCGTCCCTCCTGGCGCTAACAATGCCCAGGCAGACATGCAGCTGCAGGGCTGGCACCATCCCCCATAGGTTTGCTGGTTTGGATGTACCCCAACCCTGCAGGCATTCAAGGCCAGGCTGGATGTGGCTCTGGGCAGCCTGGGCTGCTGGTTGGCGACCTGCACACAGCAGGGGGTTGACACAGGATGAGCACTGTGGACCTTTGCAACCCAGGCCATGCTGGGATTCTAGGATTCAATGTGGGTCTGTGCTGCTCGTGGCCGTGTTTGCCCTGGGAGAACATCAAGTGAGTGGGAAGGTGATGCCCTCCGGCGATGCCCTTCTCCTAGCCCGGCATTATAGTCCAGGAGCTGTTGGCTGCTTGTTTTTTGTCGTTTTCTTTTCCGAGCTGCGACTTCATGCCTCAGTTCCTCCTTTTCGCGTCGCAGCCCCGCGCTCCCCCCGCACCCAGCCGCGGAGTCGGGGCGGCTCGGCGGCCACGCGTGGGGCCAGGAACCGCGGAGGTGGGGCCGGGGAGGACCGGGGAGGGGCGGCGCCTGCGCGGGGCGGCCGCGGAGCTCCGCGAAGTTGTGCGGGGCCCGGGGAAGTTTGCGGCGGGGCGGGTGGCTCCCGAGTCGCTCCCGGTCCCGCAGCGCTGCCGGGCGCGGCCATGGCTTTCCGGCGACGGGCCAAGAGCCACCCGCTCTTCAGCCAGGAGTTCCTCATCCACAACCACGCCGACATCGGTTTCTGCCTGGTGCTCAGCGTGCTCATCGCTCTCATGTTCGAGGTGAGGACCACCACCCCTCCCCCCCCCCAAATCTCCTCTCTATCCCCCCTTTCCCATCCCCACGCGTGTCCGATCCGTTCGTGCCCTGCCCCATTGGCTCCGCCCATCGAGGACGGCCCCGCCACCACCCGCCTGCCCGCGACCCCCCGTCCTTCCCACCCCGATGTGATCCCCTCGGTGCGGGTCCTCTCTGTGCACCCCAATGTGGACGAGGTGTCCCAATGACCCCCCTAGAGCAGCTCTGGGGTGGCTGTGGGGCACAACCCCTCCATCCTGGGGCACCAGAGCCCCTCCATCCTTTGGGATGGGGTTCCTCCATTCTTGGGGCACCGAAGCTCTTCCACACTTTGGGATGGGGTTCCTCCATTCTTGGGGCACCGAAGCCCTTCCATCCTTTGGGATGGGGTTCCTCCATTCTTGGGGCACCAAAGCCCTTCCACACTTTGGGATGGGGTTCCTCCATTGTTGGGGCACTGAAGCCCTTCCACGCTTTGGGATGGGGTTCCTCCATTGTTGGGGCACTGAAGCCCTTCCATCCTTTGGGATGGGCTCCTTCCATTCCTGGGGTGCCCTCCATTCTTGGGGTACCAATGCCTTTTGTCCTTGGGTTGCCAATCTCTTCCACCCTTGGGGTGCCAGGTGCCATCCCATTCAGTCACCATCACTCTCAACACTGGGGTCCCCCCTCGCTGAAATCCCCATAAGGACCCCAACTTTTGTGCTGGCTTTAGGGGTGAGCCATCTCTTTGCCACCCCCAACCCTTCTGGTTGCAAAAGAGCCTCAAGCTGGGGGAGTGCCTGCAAACCTTGGTTCTCCTGCATGTGCCCCCAGATCTGCCACCGCTGCTGGGGATGGGATGGGGACGCATCGCTCACCCACCCCACATGGAGGAGAATGCATTGGGAAGGAAAGGAAAAACCACCCCCTGGTTCACATTTTCCCTCACTGGAAGTGTATTTTTGGGGCTTTTTCTCAACACCATTCCCCTTTCCAGATGTTTTCTCCATGGGATGAGCAGCGGAGGTCCCACTATGACAAATCATCCCCCCTCCCTGACTCTTCCATGGGGAAACCCAGTTGTAGTTGAGCAGTGCTGGGAGCGCTCTCCCTGCTCCGGCGCCGTCCCTCTCAGCTGCAGTTCTTTTTTTTTTTATTTTTTTTCTTTCTTTCTTTTTTAATTGGAATTTATTTCTTTATTTATACATTTCCTCTTTCGGGGGAGGAGACGGGAGGAGGGACGGAGGCCTCAAGGAGCGCCTTCTCCCTCTCCAGTTCTCCCCGACGTGGAGGCACATCGGGTGACTGCCGGCCTCTCTTCTCTGCAGCCTAACAGGACCCCCCTCACCCCCCCCCCCCTACATACACACCATCCCCGCCCAAACCCTCCCCTTCTGCCCAGTGCCACGTTTCAAAGCAAATCCAGCCTGGAAAGGGGTGGCCGGGGGGCCTGGCGGAGGAGGAAAGGCTCCTTGTGCAGCAAATCGCAGCCGGAGGAAATCCATTTCCCGATGGCAGCACACCCCCCACCCTCCTCTTTTTTTTTCTTTTTTTTTGTTTTTTTTGGCTTTTAATCCCTTCCTTTTCCACACCGATGGAGCGATGCAGCTCAAGGAACCCATGGGTTTGCATCCGCGTGGGTTTAAGCCACAGAGTGCAGCTCTCCGTCCCGAAACTGCATGCAAACAATGCGAGTTTCGTTGCCGTGCTTTAATAGAAAAAGCAACCTGGTGAGGTTGCATCTCTGGTGGTTCTCATCTGCAGCTGCATTTTTCGGGCACGGCGCTCGTAGGACGTGGGGTTTCAGTGGCCGCAGTGCTGTGAAGGAGCTGAGCCCCCCATGGGGCTGGGGTGGAGCTGGGGGGTTGAGGAAAGGTCTCTTCTTCTTTTATTTCCATAGCTTTTAATTCATTCTGCTTGTGCTGATTGCTGGCAGGGTCCTCCTGCAGGGTGGCTGTGTCGGGCAGCATCCACCGTAATCCTCCCCATAGCAGAGGGCTTGGGATGCCTCTTTTGATCCTCACTTCTTTATCTTGCTCATCTCCAGCCTTCCCCCTGGGGTCCTGTGCCCATTGCTGCCATCCCACTGTGCTTTTTTTGGTGTCAGCTTGCACAATTCATAGAATGATAGAATCACAGAATGGCCTGGGTTGCAAAGGCCCACAGCGCTCATCCAGCTCCAACCCCCTGCTGTGTGCAGGTCACCAACCAGCAGCCCAGGCTGCCCAGAGCCACATCCAGCCTGGCCTTGAATGCCTGCAGGGATGGGGCATCCACAGCCTCCTTGGGCAACCTGTTCCAGTGCCTCACCACCCTCTGGGGGAAAAACTTCCTCCTCATATCCAACCTAAACCTCCCCTGTCTCACTTTAAACCATTCCCCCTTGTCCTACCGCTGTCCACCCTCATAAACAGCCCTTCCCCCTCCAGTTTATAAGCTCCCTTCAGACATTTCTGCCTTTGGATGCCTTTTCAACGCCTGGGTGTCCTCCCCATCCTCCTCCTCCTCCTCCTTGCTGGGTTCCCACCTTCCTCATGCGGAAGCAGCCCAGTGCTGCTCACAATAGGGCTGTTTCCTGCAGGGGAGGGCTCTGTAAATGGGATTTTTAACCTTTTCCCAGGCAGCCCCACTCCAGGCAACACGGGCAATGAAGGTGATGCTCAAAGGCTTCAGAGCATCTCCCACTTCATAGCATGTGTCCCAATGGTTGAGGGTCACTGATGTGGCGCTGAGGGACGTGGGCAGTGGGTGGGGGTGGCTTGGGTTGATCTTGGGGAACATGGTGAGCATAGAGTCATAGAATGGCCTGGGTTGAAAAGGACCACAATGCTCATCCAGTTCCAACCCCCTGCTGTATGCAGGGTCACAGCCCAGGCTGCCCAGAGCCACATCCAGCCTTGGATGGCTGTTTTCGTGGCTGATGGGTCATTTCCAACCATAATGATTCAATGACATGAAATGCTCCTTGAGCATCCCTTCGGTTCACAACTTCACCCCATCTCAGTGGGTTGATAGCAGAAGCAGCCTGGGAGTTGTATTGCAGCAGGGACTGGGTACTGGTGGTGATATGGAGACACAGTGCTGCCTGCTGCCCTTTGCCTGTTTGGGTGCTGGGTGCATCCTCATAGAGGTAACATGGGTTGTGGGGGCATTCCCCCAAAAGGAGCCATCCCAAATGCAGCCATCCTTGCCTTCCCACCCAGCCCAAAGCCTCCATGACACAGAATCCTCCCAGATGTTGTGAGTGCAGAGGTGCCCCTTCCTTGGGACACCCAAGGTCAGGCAGGATGGGCTGTGAGCACTGATGGAGCTGTGGGTGTCCCTGTTCAGTGCAGATGGGACAGATGGCCTTTAAGGTCCCTTCCAACTCAAACCATTCTATGATTCTGTTATTCTGTGACTCCGTGGCTTTTGCTGCACAGAGTGCACGCAGTCACTGCCTCCACCAAAGCCCAGTGTGTAAAGTTTAATTTAATTTTTTGGTTTTTTTTCACCAAAACCAGCTGAAGGTTGGAAACACAAAGCAGCTGCTCTCCATCCTCACTTTGCATATCTTATTTTCACTATTTGGCAGAAAAATGAAAGCCAAGCAGGGCTTGGCTGAGCCTGCAGCTGCCCACCTTGCTCATACCCACACTGGGGAGCACAGGACGGGGTCGGGCAGCATTTGTGCAAGTTAAATCTGGGGGAGATCGTGCTGTTTAATACCTGAGCTGGAAGGGCTTCCCGTTGGTGGGTTGTGAGTGGGGCTTTGTGCAGGATTGACTTTTCCATGCTGCCGTGGTGCCCTGCTGTGGGGTGAGCCATGTGTAGGCAGAGGGGCTGCGCTGCCCTGGGAGGAGGGCTTTTTGGGAACGGCTGCTGTTTACTTTCCGAAGCTCTGGTCCAAAGTTTGGCCTTTGGTTTACATATAGAGCCTGTGTCAATGCCTACCATGGATCAACACGGCTTGCTTTCAGCAAACACTGCGGCTGGTGGAAGGGAGAAAAAAAAAAAACAACGGAGAAAAGTCTTCTGACAGCATTTTATCTGTAATTAGGGTTGTTTTTCAAGCACTGGAAATATTTTCCCAGCTCGGGCTGCTGCAGCTCCCCCAGCCTCCCCCACCAGCTCTGCAGTGATCAGAGGCTGTGAGAGCTGGGGCTGCTTGGCCCAGAGCTGGGGGGTCTCAGGGAGGCTCACTGCAGCCATAAATCCTACAGGAGGTGCAAGGGGATGGGGCTGTGCTCCATGGAGCCCAGGGCAGTGCAGGCACACAGAGCACAGCCTGGAGCCCAGGAGCTGCCATCAGCAGCAGTGCTGTGCTGGGCAGTGCTGGAGCCCGGGCACAGGGAGCAGAGAGCAGTGAGGGCTGCTCACCGGGTTTCCCAAAGCCACCTGGATGTGATGGAGCATAAAGCACTTCCTATGTGGTATCTCGTCCCTTGCAGGCAAATCCCACTCCCCTTGTACAATTCCAGTATCAAGATCTCATTTCAGTGTGAGCACAGCGAGTGTCTTCCTGCTGCAGGTCTTGTGCCTCTGAATAATCCTTGGCTCACCAGCTTCTTCTTTCTGTGGCCTATCCACAGGCTGCTTAATGGCAGCTTAGAAGTGTCTGCTTCCTGAGCCAAGGAACCCTCGCTTCTGCCTTCATAGGATCATTAAGGTTGGAAAGGCCAGTAATATCACTGAGTCCAACCATCAGGAAGATGTCAAGGGAGGTTTAGGTAGGATGTTAGGAAATGTTTCTTCTCTGAAAGAGCAGTGATGCAGTGGCACAGCTGCAAGTGGTGGAGTCACCATCCATGGAGGTGCTCCAGAGCCGTGGGGCTGTGGCACTGAAGGACGTGGTCAGTGGGCATGGTGGGGTTGGACTGGGTGATCTTGGAGGTCCTTTCCAACCTGAATGATTCAAGGATTGAAGAATGGAGGGATGTCGCTGGTGTCCTGGCTGCCATGTCCATGCTGGTTCGTACCATCCGTTGTGTGCTCCATCTCATGGAGCTGCTGCTCTGGAAGCTGCCACTCTGCCTGCCCAAAGCTGTGTTTGAGCCTTTAGAAAGCCTGAGGGCCATCTCCAAAAAGCCACAGATGCAGCTCTGGTGATGCACCCCAGCCTCTCTGGCTGGTTCCAAGACTTCATCCTGGAGATGGTGCTTCTGGTTGTGCTGTACTCCAGGATGAAGTAACCTTGCTTTCGTTGCCAGCAGGGCTTACAGGAGCCAGAAGCATCTCCTTAAGCCAGCCATGCGATGCACTTTTTCCATAACCACCCCAAATTCTGCCTGATGTCTCCCTCTCCTTGGGCACTGTGTTCCTCACTTCTCTGTTCCTCCGTCAGCAGAGCCCAGCAGCGTTTTGGCACTGGGGCAGCTGCATCAGCCCCTTGCTCAATGCCCTTAGGAACAGGATGGGAGCGCTTGGCAAAGCCCCTGTGTTTCCTCCCCCAATAACTACGTCCTGCAAGACATGAAGCAATCCTTCCATCTGGGTTTTGAGTAGTTCTCAGCTCTTAAACAGTTGCAGCTATGTCTGTGAAGCTGTCTGTCAGCTGTGGCACTGTTGGTGTTGGTTGTGTGAGAGGCTGGAGGCTTGTGAAGCCCTCGGGCTGGAGGTAAAACCCTGCCTGTATGCAGGCTTGGACAAAGACAAGGGCATGGTCAGAGGCTGATGTTGGGTTTTGGGGTGTGCCAGTCTTGGGGAAGCTTCTTTGGGGTACAGGGATGGGATGCTCAGCTCTGCCGCAGCACCACAGAGCCTTCTGCCTGGGTGCTGGGGTTCCCTCCCTTCGATTAAAAGCAATAAATGAAGAATGAACAGCATACCCTTCTTGGCAGAGGACCCAGCGTCTCGTGTCTGGAGTTTTATTTTCTTTGATTCATTCTGGGGAGTAGAATGGATGGGTCTGAGGGATGGTTGTAATTAATACAGCACGTAACGCTGCAGAGCTTGGTGGGACCACAGCAGTGGCTGAGTAACACTTGGGCTGGATGGGTGCTGCTGAAGGGATGCTCGTCCTCCAGGAGCAGCTTCCCCACCAGGCTTTGCTGACTTTTCCAGGTTTCTTTCATCCTCCCCCTTCCCAAATACCTGGTCCCATTGGGAAGCCTCCTTCCCATACCAATGCCTACACCCTTCCCATCTGCCCGCCTCGCATCCCCCTTTCCCAGCACAGTAAAAGTTGGCAGAGGAATGAAATTAGTAATTAAATTTGCTTGATGCCCCCTTTGTGTGTCTTTGACAGGTTACTGCCAAGACTGCCTTCCTCTTCATCTTACCTCAGTATAACATCAGTGTGCCTACAGCAGGTAAGAGATGCTGCTGCTCCGGGGAAGGAATCAGCCCAAATCCTTGCTGCTGGCTGCCATGGCCTCACCTCCCAGTGAAGGGTCTTCAAATGTGAGAAATGTTTGGGTTTGCTTGTGTTTTGGCTGCTCATTCCTACCTCCCAGCCACAGTCAGGGCTGTGAGCATGGTGTGGAGGCAAAAAGAAGTGGTTTGGGTGAAGGATGGGGCTCAGCATTGGGCATACACTTGGAACACACAAAGCCTGGCCTGGCAGCAGGACGGTGTGGCTTATTGAAAGGCGTTGAGCATTCCTCCAGTCGAAGAGAAGGGTGCAACAAGAATAGGATGAGGCAGACACAGAGAAGATGGAAGGGCAGCCCACTAAGTCATGGCTGAAGAACTCACTCTGCTCCCAAATTGAATTGTGGTCTGTGTTCCCCTGCAGCACAGTCCAGACAACTTCCTCTCTTGTGCCTGAAGTGATTTACTCATCTTTAGCCTTGCAATTTTATCATATACTGTGGTTATAAACCCTGTGAGAGGCATTAGCTCAACCTCTGGTTTTGTACAATGCCCAGCACATGGGGACCAGGTCGTGCACATCTTCATAGCAGCTGTCTTCATAAACCCTATTCTAACCTTACTAGGACACTTCCAGTCTTAAAAGCAAATATGGGCTGAAGCTTTATTTGAGGGTAAAGAGGGTTGGTGACAGATCAGATAGTGAGGACTGGGGCAAGGGGAAGCAGCAGCTTGGCAGGGCCATACCTTCACATTGCAATGCTTTCTGCAGCTCTCCCCAAATCTACTTCTTGCCCACAAACTGCAAGACTGCAGATAGATACCGAAATGCAGACTGTGGGAGTACTTTGGGTGCTGTTAGGTCTCCCATTGCTCTGGAAGTGCAGGCTTCCCATGAGTACTATTTCTCATCCTCTAGCCCCGTGCTGCTTTCTTAGATCCCTTTATAGCACAGTACACCTCTGTTCAGGCAGCTGAGTCCTGCTCCTGAGTGTCACCTCCCTTGAGGTGTGTGACAATTAAGAAGCTGTACCCACATTGCCAATGACCTAACTCAGGCTGAAGACCTTTTTTACAGGGCTTTCTTCCAGCCATGTGGCCACTGGCATAGTCTTGACCTCTCTCTGCCTCCAAAATGCATGCTCCCATCCAAGCTATGTTGGTTATAGCCACCTCAAGGCTTCAAGTGAGTCATAAGCCTTGGAAATAGTTGGCATTGAGAGGTCTTACCCACAATTTGATCTCTTTGCAGATGGGGAGCTGGTCCAATATCACTACGGTCTGAAGGATCTGGTCACCATCCTCTTCTACATCTTCATTGCCATCATCCTGCACGCAGTGGTGCAGGAATACGCCCTGGACGTGAGTGCAGTTTGGTGTCTTGAGTAGATGGAGTGTCTCAAGTACCATGGATGGGACACAGTCCTGCTGCAATCAAATGTGGCTCTGGTGTAGTCCAGAGACTGGGGTGGCCACGTGTAAGCTGTCATCTTTGGGCGATGCTTAGGACAGGGAGGAAGAAGAGAAAGGAGAGTTGCTGACCTGGTGGCTCACGTTTTCTTTTCCTTTCTCCTTTCCCTCTGCTTCATCCCAGAAAATCAACAGGCGTCTCCATCTCTCCAAAGTCAAACACAGCAAGTTCAATGAGTCAGGGCAACTGGTCGTCTTCCACCTCACCTCTTTGATTTGGTGCTTGTACGTTGTGGTGACGGTAAGGCATAGGGCTAGCTGCACTTTGGGTTTCCTGGGGGGAATTTTGGGTTTCTGGTGAAGAAAAACTCTGTGAAAGCAAAGAATCCCCCATCACCCTTTGGGCAGACGGTGTTGGAGAGATCAAAGTGTTTTAGCAATGAGGAGGATTTGATATGCATTGGGGTCTAGCTGTGGTTCCTGGCAGTGCTGGGAATGGATCCTTGGGGAGGGGTCCCCTCCCTGCTGCTCTGGGGGTCCTGCCAGCCCTCTTAGAGGACCACTGTCACCTCCAGATCAGTCCCTTTGGGAACCTTCGGGCTTTGGTCCTGCCCACACTGCACAGAACAGGTCATCCTTGCATCCCTTGCCCCTCCCTGGCCTTTCAGGAGTCATGCCAATTAAAGGAAAAGATTTGGGGCAGTGAGGGCACAGGTGATGGTGACAACTGGCCTCAGGCAGGATGAATTTTCCATGCAAAAATCTCTTTGCAAAACCCAGTGCAGACCCCTGTGGCAAGAGCTGTGCACATGTGGAACAAGAAGGGAGCTCCTGTAATCTCTGTGAGTGCAGGGGAATGCAGGCGAGTGGAAAATTAAACTACGTGATGCATATTTAATTGATTTTTGTAGGTATTTTTTGTTCCTCTTTCTCCTCAGAAGTATTCCTTTCTGCTGAGTGATGCTTGGGCTGGAAATGCCGGTTGGGAAAAGCCCCCCAGACCATGCACATGGTTTCTTGCAGCTGCACTATTGATATCTCATCCCAGTGTTTCCAGAGCATCCTCCTTGCATTGCCCAAACCCCAAAACATCCTGTCCCTCAGCTCAGGGCCTTTTGTGCAACCACAAACGCAGCTTTTGTTACCCAAACATGAGGATGTCATGAAACTAGAGACGTGGGAACATATCTGAGCTTGGAGAGCTCAGTCCTGGCTTGTGCAGGGGACGTTAACCTTGCCTCATTGTAACCACGTGCTGCCTTGTTCCTCTATCTGACGACTTGCCTCTCTTTTTCAGGAAGGATACATATCAAACCCCCAGAGTTTGTGGGAAAACTACCCGCATGTTTATCTTCCGTAAGCACTCACATTTTGTTCTTGGGCTGACTGCTTCCTTCCCCCATGCCATTTTCCATGTGGCAGCACAGAGCCCTTTGCATGCAGCAAGATCCTGGTCAGGGGTGGGCATCTCCTCTGGAGCTTTGGGGAGGGTGTTCTTGAAGGGCTTTTTCATGGTTTAGTTATTCATCACCTTGGGTAGGTTGCTTTGCTCTTCGTTTTCCATGGTAGAAACGAAGAAGAGGGGATAATTCTCCCTTCTTGGGGTTTTGCAAGAGTGAGATTTGCTGGGGACGTGGAGACCACAGCACAAACACCTGGATGAAGCCCAGACTCGGCTAAATGTAGTCCCCTAAATCCAATGGCATCGGAGCAGTGAGGGAATTGCTTGGGGCCCCAGGAGCCCTTGGCACCCAAGGCTCGCTCCGCAGCTCATCCCTGCCTTCAGCTTCCAGGTGAAGTTCTTCTACCTGTGTCAGCTGGCCTACTGGCTGCACGCGTTGCCAGAGCTCTACTTCCAAAAAGTTCGCAAGGTGAGAGCTGTCCAAGGGCTCCAGGCTCCTTGGGGCTTTGGGATTTGAGGGGGGGAGAGGACAGGGTGAGGGGATTAACACTGCTCTCTGCCCTGCCAGGAGGACATCCCACGCCAGCTGCAGTGCATTGCGCTCTACCTGGTGCACATCGCCGGCGCGTACCTCCTCAAGTGAGTCGTCTATCTCTGTGTTTTGAGCTGGGGCTTTTGCAGGGTTTTTCATCCCCAAATTCTTTGTCTGGGGCTGAGAATCCAGGGAGATAAAGTAAATAGCGTGAAAGTTGAACTCCTAGCTGCAGGATGGTAAAGAGCTGCTTTTGTGAGGGATAAACTACTGGTTTGTTGCTTTGATGCTTTGGGGTCGGGGATTTCACCATTGCGATCTGGGCATCTGAGCTGTCCAGCTTTGGGCTGGTGCTTACTGCAGCTTAAGGATGGAACATTCTGGATGTGAAGGACCAAAGCTGACCAGCCTGGTGATGCTTTTTTCTTCTTCTCTTTCTTTCTAGTTTAACCCGCTTGGGGCTGATCCTCTTGCTGTTGCAGTATTTAGCTGAATTCTTCTTCCACATGGCCCGGCTGGTCTACTTCACAGATGAGAACAACGAGAAGCTGTAAGTGGGTGAGCTGGCCATGGCATTCCATCTCCAGTGCCCTCTGGTTTTTGCTGTCACCTTGCAGCTCAACACTGGGGGATACTGAGAGTGCAGCACAAAGTGTATCTCCAGAAGAAGTTGGGTTGAGGTTAGGGTGAGGAGAGTTGGGAGCAAAGAGGTTACTGAGCTGCACAGTGCTAAGCATTGGAGCATCTCCAGGTCAGGAAGGGGAGATGTGCTAGGGGAGATGTCTACAAAGTGCTTCTGCACCACGGTGCATGCTGGCAGCGTGACCTTCTGCTGAGAATGGGGTGACATTCTGTGAGAATGGGGCTCTGCATATGGCCATGGGGCCCAGAGGCTGCTCCTGTCCACATCTCTGCTTGCCTTCCATCAGGTTTAACGTCTGGGCTGTTGTCTTTGTGGTCACCAAGCTCTTCACGCTAACCCTCTACATTTTGGTCATTGGCTTTGGTCTGCCACGCGTGGAGAACCAGGCCCTGGAGCCAGAGAAAGGGAATCTCTTCAGCTTTCTCTTCAACCATATCCTCTTCAGGTAGGAATGTCCTGCACCATATCTGTTCCTTCTCTGCATCCTTTCCTGTGAATATCTTGTGAAACTATTTCCCTCGTATTTGTTGAAGGAAGTAACCAGTTACAAAGGATGAACTGAAGCAGACACCTTAGGGAAAGACATGCGTGTTCTCCCTTATGGACCCGTAACTGTGTATTGATGTGGTCAATGAAAAAGGAGTTTTTCCATCTGCTTGTATGTGTTTGGATGCCCGTTAACGGGGGAAGCAGGGGATGGGATGGGCTGCCATTGTTTTGGGCAGTGCTGATTGAGATGGGCCTTATAGCTTCTACAGCTCCCTGAAAGGAGGCTGTGGCGAGACATGGGTTGGTCTCTGCTGCCAGCTAACAGTGACGGGATGAGAGGTGACGGCCTCAAGTTGCACCACGGGAGGCTCAGGCTGCATGTTAGGAAACAGCCATCTGTCCAGGGGAACCTGGACCACCGGTGCGGGGTGAAGGCCAGGCCGATGGTGGCCTGGCTCCTCTCTTCTCAGCCTTGCCTCTTCTCCGCCCCTGCCAGAATGAGTGTGCTGCTGTTGGTGTGCCTCTTCCAGGCCTCGGTGATGTGGCGCTTCATCCACTTCCAGCTGCGGCGCTGGCGGGAGTACTGGCACGAGCAGAGCAGCAGGAAGCGGGCCGCAGCCTGCGCCAAGCAGCCAGCCAAGCCGCTCAAGAGAGACTCTGGTGAGCAGGGGGCGCCGGGAAACGGGCTGCCCAGATTGCTGTGGGTGCCTGCAGTGCCCAAAGGCAGGCTGGATGAGGCCTGGGTGGTGGGAGGTGTCCCTGCCTGTGGCCCATGGATGGGCTTGAAGATCTCTTCCAACTCGTTCTATAGTGACGTATAGAATGTGTATCCATATATGATGCTGGCCCACGCAGGATGACGTGGGTGAGGTTTTTCTGTCTCTGCCCCCAGGTTACCATGAAAATGGAGTGGTGAAAGCGGAGAACGGCACCTCGCCGCGAACCAAGAAGCTGAAATCACCCTAAAGGCCTCGGCTCCTGGGGAGGAGGGCGAGGGGCCAGGACTGAGGGCAGCCCTTCCTCCCAGTCCTCACAAGGTTGTCTTGAGCAGCTTGGGAGCAGGCCGTCTGCCCGAGGTGTCTCACTCTCCTCCCTTTCTTTCTTACCTTCTTGAACCATTTGCAATAAAACCAAAAAGGTCCCTTTCCCCTGCTCCTTTCCCCTGCAGGAGCCTTTTCCGAGCCTCCTCTGGTTTTGCCTTCCTCTGTTTCACCGTAAATCAGTGTGCAATTTTATTATTTTTTTTTCTGTTTTAGTGTTTGGTTATTTTGCATTTTTGTTACAAATGCGTTGTAGATGGTTCCAAAATATTTTTTTTGCTCCTACAGCATGTTTCTCCCCTCTCTCTGTGTTGATTCCCCCATCCCCTGGTTCAGGGCCGTGGCAGTTTGAAGGCTCCATGTGTCAGCTATGGGAACGGGCTCCAGGGGAGAAGTACGGGGACTCTGAGACCCATGAGGTGCTCATGGCTGATGGTTTCCCCTGCTGGGGCAGTCCAGCCAGCACTCAGCACGTGTTGCATGATGTCGATGCTGCAAATAGGGACTAGCGTCTGAGGGAGGAACCTCTGTTGTGTCTTGTCTCTCTCTGGTTGAGTGGGGTTCCTCCAGCTCCTGGCTTCAAGCTAATTTTAGTGATCTAGGAAGCAGAGAAGGGAGACGAGTTCCCTCTTCCTGTAGGACCCACATACTAGCCTTTACTTGCCCCAGCTTTTCTGGTACAGCTGGGTCCCCTTTATTCTCTGGACTGCCCTGTAGTTGTTCTGCATCCCCCAGCACTGAGAGCTGGGCTCAGGGCTCTGCAGCTTATCATGCCTTGTTGTGGGGCAGTGACATCCTCAGGTCCAGGTGAATCCTCGAGCCCTGCCCCACTCTGAGCCCTGGCCTGGCTCCTGTCAGCCTCCTGTGCCTCAGACCTGGTGTGCTCATGGCTCGTCACCTCCTCCAGATGAGCGAAGTGGCTGCTGCAAAGGGTTTTGCCTTAATGGGACTGTGCCCCTTGTGCTTAGCCATCCTCATTCCTACCATGCCAGTCCAGCTGTGCCATCTGCAGCCATCAGCTTCTCTTTCCGTAGGATACACAGCTTGTATCCACCCAAGGTGCTATCAAATGTAGGGTTTCTTCCAAAAACCCTAGCCCCTTCATCCCTTTCTGAGCTGTGAATGAGATGACAGGAAGGATGCCAAGGGCTGTGAGGAGTAGCTTGTACATTAGGAAAGGCCTGTGAGGCATAGCTGTTGGCAAATGGAGTTGTCTTAAATCTACCTCAGAGGCCGTCTTTTGCTACAGACCACTCTCTCTCTTGCACCTCCCTGACCTGAGGTCTGGGGGAAGCCCAGGTGCCACTGGCTCGCTCCCCTTTGCTGGTGGGCAGCACCTCTTGCCCAGGGTTCTCACAGGTCGGTGGGCTTCCTTGGGGTCTGTGCACCAGTTTGGATTTGGCTGGTGGGTGCTTCTCATCCCATAGCTCTTTTTTGGGGTGCTTTCTGGGCTTTGCTGTTGGTGCCTCTTGTGCAGCAAAGTCAGCTGTAGCTCCTGGTGCATGGGGTCGAGGAGAGCCTGGCCACTCTTTGATGTGCGAGGCAGGATGGAAGCCCACCTTCCTTATGGGTGATGGGATGTGTGGTCTCATGCCATGTCACTTGCTCAGCCCCTCCAGGCATGATTCTAGCTCGGGCTTTTTGCAGTGAGGCTGGCACATTGTCATTTGTATCTTTCGTCTTTTGGAGAATGAGAGACAGTTGTTTGTCTGCCACTCTTGGAATGGAGTCGCTTTTTCCTCCCTTCCTCCTTTCCTTGCAGAGCCTCAGCTAATGCTGGGCACAGGAGGGAGAAAATGTGTAGGGACGTGAGTACAGTTGCTCAGATTCCACTTGTTCCTCTGTTCCCGTGACCTCTGAGTCAAACAAAATGTCAGCAGGAGTCTGGAAGAAGGTCCCCCTTTTTGAGGGGAAGTGAGGAAGGAGACTTTGAAGCTGGCGCCTCTCAACAGCTGAGGATTGGCTCTGTTGACAGATGACACACACAATCCTCTCAGAAACCGGCTGCTGAATAATTCCTCTTCCTGCCTGCTTCGCTTCAGGCAGCTTCTCCACTTGCACAATCCTGTGTCTTCATAGAGTAGCTAATTATCGTTGTATCCCAAGTGCCTTATGTTGTCGTGTAGCGTCTCGTGTGCTTGATCTGTGTAGGATAGCAGCAGCTGAACACCCTTTCTCCTTATGACATATGTACAACATATGCTACATTTATGTATCTTTTTTGTTTAGATTTTGGATTTTTTCTGTCTTTTGATAGACCAGTAAAAGGGACAGTTTGTTTTGGAAATATTTCCATGTTTTCTTTCTGCTTGTTGTTTGTTATTTTTTCTTAAGCCCAGAGATGATGTTCTTTTTTGCCCTCCTCTGTCTTTAATCCTCTGAAATCTTCATCCTTCTTCTGTTACGCCAAAGCATGGCATGACTTCTGTTTGGTTATTTAGTGCTGAGCCTTTGCTACAAGGCAATGCGAAGTCTCATCCTCGAGGTTTCCAATCTGCCCCCCATTGGAGGGGCTGCCCCGAGCTGCTTCTGTCTCTGGCTTTTAGTGCAAACACCATCTCTGCAGTAACTGCTTTTATGTCCATGGCATTTCTCAGCAGACCAAGCCTTCTTTTCAGCCCAAAGAACTTTCACTGCAAACGGTTACTGGTCAGTCTTCCCTTGACTGCTTTGTGTGCAAAGATGCTGAGAGCCCTCTGTCATTGACTCGATGCTCTTCTTGCATCCCATCCTGTCAAGCTCTCTGTCATCTGAAAAAAAAAAAAGCCACAACCACACCAACAAACCCAACCTGAAGCAAGAGCTGTTGTCTGCCACAGTGCAGGAACTGACAGACTGTGCAAGTTCTGACTTCGTGTAATCACTGCTTGCTCTGCGCCCTTCCTGTGGGCTTGAGGCTGATTCTGCCATCTGTGTCTATTACCAACGTAAGGTCAGGGACTGAGTAGTCTGTGATTTTTAGTGTGCAGTGTGGTGTTCTCCTATCCTACTCTAGAAACCTTTGAAATACTGGCAGCAGTTCTCTCTCTTTGTTGCAGAGAGTTCAGGGATGGGCTTGGGAAGAGAAGAGGGTTGAAGAAGAACAGATGTAGCATTTCACATATAATTTTTGAGTGACTCTTACTTTGTGGGGCATTACAGTTATGTTTTGTTGTTTTGGTTTTTTTTTTGTTTAGGATTTTTCTTACTCATGTTTGGGTTAGTGGTAAAGACAAGTTCTGGTTCCTCTGTAGGACCCCTTACCCCTATCTTGTTTTAAGATGTATTTCTGATACGCTTCCCTGTCGGAGGGGAGGACTACCCTAGGATCCTCCTCTGACCCCCAAGTTATTCCCAAGGCCTGTAGGTACCACAGCATTGCTGCAGTGCATGGGGATTTGCAGCAACAGCTGCTTCTTACCTTGGATGAAGTTTTGGTAGATGGAGCCTGACATGCACCAACAGCAGGTGGAGATTTTGGGGTCTGATTTACAGCCTTCCTGGAAGCTTTGTGAGCATGCAGTAGATGGTTTGTTTGGCAGGCTTTGTACTCAAACTGTGAAGTTTGTTACGTAGCCTCGGGGCTGTGGGTGGGAGTTTTGCTGGCAGAGAGGAAGGATGGCCATTATGAAAGCCAGGCGGAGGCACGTAGCTTTCCTTCAGCTATGTTGAATTCCATGGACCAGAACTTCAGCAAAAGGAACTCGAGGAAAATTTTTTGTTCTTCCATATTCCAAAGTTTCGAATTTTGGAGGGGGGCGGTGGGGAAGCGACAGTCTGCAATATTTTATCCATCTCTCATTTGTTTCATTCTTCCTGTCACGTAAATATATATATATTTTTTTTGTACGGTTTATGTTCGTTGTCGTTTATTGTTCAATGACTTTTGTGATGAACTCAACAGAAGTATTTTCTGAAATAAATAAATAAAAGGCATAGATTCTTCCATTACTGCTGCTTGCTGACGCTTTACCATGCTGCTAAGTTAAGAGGGCAGGCTGGGATGGGCCGTGCTCCTCTCCCTCCTGTCACGCCAGATGTGGCCATAGCTTTGGTCCTCATATTCCCCATAGCTAGGGCTCATATTCTTGAATTTCCCATGTCTACAGCATGGGCAGCTGCTTCTGAGTTAGTTATCAGTGGCTGCCTCGCTTGCTGGAGGATATGGGCATTTGTAGGATATGATTCATTTGATGTGGTTTAGGTGCATAGTTTCTGGTGAGCTCAATTGTATGCTTTCTGCAGCTGGCCCTGGGCATGCTGCATGGGTTGGTTAAGTATTAGGTTACAGCTTTCATAGCACATGCAGAAAACAAATTCTCACTTTCTTTTCTACAGCCTGTAACTCCTGTAACTTCAACTGCAAGTTCTTGGGCCTCTGGAAAAGCTGTTCAGGGTGGCTGTTAGAAGTTTAGTCTTTTGCAGCTGCTGCTGCTCAGAAGGCACCTCATACAACGCCAAGCCATGCTTTGAAATCTGAGATGGACCTGAGATTGCTTTAACAATTCTCAGTCAGAGAGAAGAGCAGCACAAAATGGGCCCAGAAGGGAAGAGCAGGGACCTTTCCTGAAACAGGGGAGGCAGTGGAAGTGGGAGCCCACAGCGCAAAAAGCTGAGTTAAAGAGGCATTTTGTTCTCTGTGTGCATGATAGCTGCCCTCCGACTGCGCTCAGTGGCGATTCCTGGCAGGTGTCAGCTGGGCTGAGAAGGTTCCTGCCATGTTTCCTTTCAGGGAGAGATGAGCAGCCTGAGCAGAAGTGTCATAGCCCTATTGCTATGCCAACGGTTAGTTTTCCCTTTTCATTGGACCTATCCTGTAAGATGACAGTTGCATGAGCTGGGGTTAGATGTAATCTCAGTTCTAAAACCATTCTCCCAACCCTTTGTTAAAAAATGCAAAGCTGCTGTCAGCACATCTGTGTGCAGACCCTGCAATTTCCATGAGATACGTGAGAGCAAAACTACTATTCCATTTCAAGTAAAGCCAGAGTCACAATTGGCTTTGTGGTGGTGGGTTTTTTCCTTACTCTTAGCTATATACTTACTCTTAGCTTAGACTCCTTAGCTATTCTAGTCATTGAGGTACATTTATTTAAAGCCTACTCTTTAACACTTTCACAGCAGCCATGCATAACTTTATAGTCACACTAGCAAGCATGCATTTATTATGGTTTCTGACAGAGCTCTTAGGTCTTCTTGCAATGTAAATAAACATTTAAACTGGCAGTCTTCACTGCAGGCCCCTTTCAACTCTGTATGAAATCTAGATGCTTGTCACTCCATTAGCTCTAGCAAGCCTTGCTGTACAGCATTAAAAAGTTGAGAGATCAGTAGAAGAACCTGTCCGTGGTTCTCCAAAACGTTTCTTTTTTCTTATGGGTTTCATTCCAATATTCAGCAGTTAGGAGGTTGAATTTGGTGGCAGCAAAAACGGCAGGAGTAGGTTGGGAAGGTTATCCAAGTGAGGGTGAAATTAGGAAGGAAGGAAGGGAGAGAGGAAAAGAAGCAAAGGTAAAAGGCAGAGCTTCCTTTTTGAAGTGCGAGGTCTCACAGTCAGCTCAGCTAAAGTTATCACTGCTTGTCTTGTGCTTTGGCTTCCAGGCGAGGGTCACGAGGGGAAGGCCCTGAGGAAGTCCCGGTAGTTTATCTTGTCATCTCCACAGCAGCACAGGTCAATCAGCTGGGGGGAAAAAAGAAGCAATGCCAGAAAGAGTTGAAGGAACCTGTAAATGTTTTCGTAAGGAAAAGTGCCCAAGGTACTCTATGTGACAGAGCAGAAGAGCGGACTGGCTCTGCAGTGCTGGATCACAGGTAACCTTGAGTGCCTACAGATGACACTAACCTCTGCAAGGACAAGAGTTAAAGTGTTAGGGTTAGGGTTTGCCCTCTATGTGTCACCACAGTGACACCAGAGCCACAAAAAACGGAGCTGTGGCCAAAGACTGGCAAAGGCCACAGCACGTCTTTCAGAAACCTCACTGAAATCCCTGCCAGAAGCAGGATGGAGGCCTGCATCTGAACAGGCACTGCTTGGTGGTGTCTCTTCGGTACGTGCACATGGCAGCAAGTGGAGACACAGATAATTGAGCTCAGTGACAGCCCTGCTAATGAACCAGTTCTGGTATCCGTGCCTGACCCTGCATTGTGTTACAGAGCTATAGCCTTTGTATGCTTAAGGGGAAGAAAGAAGGCTTTTGTTTCCTTAATTGCATAACTAATCTCCTTCTGACACCCAGGGAAATGGAAAAGGTCTAATATCAGAGTTCCTTGAAAGGATTCTTCTTCCCCTCGTCGCCTGGAGACAGATTTACTAGGTTTGCTCTTGTGTGACTGACAGCTGTGCTCCTCTCCAGGCCACACAAGTTAACCATCTGCCATGTGCTTCATTTACAGTGCTGCCATGCTGCTATGGGCTCTGGGCACGTTCTTATTATGCTTTTAGTGCCAAGGTCTAGATGGAGATTCAAACACGAGGTTTGAGCTCAGTTATTACAGACTTTCTGCTTCGACTCCCATTCTTGGCATGAGTGAAGAAAGAGCAGTCACCAGCTAGTTCCTCAAGGCCAAGGGATCTCCAGTGGACTCTGGAACAGCAAGGATGGGTGCTGGCCAAAGGCCTCAGTGCACTCAGTGCACATTGAGGGACACCAGCTGCGTGTGATGCACCTTTCCATGTCTGTGATGCTCACAGTTGGCTGTGATAGAACATGTTTTCCTATCAGGGGCAATACTCTCTGGTTCCTGGGTTTCTTTAAGGCG